GACAAGTTGTGCAGCATAAATAGACCTGGAAAAATTTTACTTTTTAGTTTATCAATGTGGTACAACCAAGATAAATTTTGATCAATTACTAGTCCTAAGAGTTTAGTTAAGTATGAGTCACTTGAGTTAAGTAATTTTTATAAATTTTTAAATGAGGTTTTAAAGTTTTTTTTGGGCAGTTGAAAAATTTATGTATTTGGTTTTCTCTGAGTTAAGCAATAAGATTTTGCAAGATAAATATTCACAGATTCAAGGCTACTATTGCCTGTATATTCAATGTTGGTTATTTTTTGATCTACCAGAAATTATTAAATTTGCATCATCAGCATAGAGGCATAATTTACTGTTTAAGTTCTTTAGAGCTGAAGGAAGGCCTTTAATGTAACAGAGGAATTAAATTGGACCAAGAATAGACCCCTGAGGGACTCCATATTTTACTTGTTTTAGAAATGATTTGACTTTAAGTAATTGATTGAATTCTGTAATCGTATTCAGTTCAACATATTGCTGCCTGTTTTCTAAATATGATTTAAACCAATTTAGTGAATTATCAGTAATACCAAAATGTTGTAATATTGAAATCAGTGTCTGATGCGAAACGCTATCAAAAGCTGTATTAAGGTGGCATTTTTAAAAAGTATTTTTATTTATAAATTATTATCTAGTTTTTAGTCTTTAATGTATAAATATGTTAAATCTATTTTATATAGCCTCTTAATACATAACCAAAACCCAAAACCTTATTATCTGTAATCAGATGTTTTATCTTTACTTTGAAATGATTGTTTTATATTTTTAGAATATCTCGGGAGCAGAACCTGTACCTCTTAACCTCTGCACTTCTGTCAAATTTAAGTATTTACAGCTGACTTAAATAAATTTATATGTTTACATTCTTTTAAAATGTAAACATGGAAAATTTGGAAGCCAAAGGGGCGTAGCCCAAGGGAAATATGAAAATTAAATTATATAATATTGCATTGTCATCCATTTGTGAGCTATGTTTCAAGTTTCAAGTCTCTAGCTCATCGGGAACTTCGTATAAAATTGATATCAAAATTTGTAGGAAAGCGAGCTAATAAAAACAAGCCCATGGGGCGTAGTCCAAGGGAAATATGAAAATTAAATGATATAATATTGCATTGTCATCCATTTGTGAGCTATGTTTCAAATTTCAAGTCTCTAGCTCATCGGGAAGTATCAAAATTTGCAAGAAAGCGATTTAATAAAAACAAGCCCATGGGGCGTAGTCCAAGGGAGTTATGAAAATTAAATGATATAATATTGCATTGTCATCCAATTGTGAGCTATGTTTCAAGTTTCAAGTCTCTAGCTCGTCGGGAAGTTAGTATAAAATTGATTTCAAAATTTTTACCGGACAAGAAAGCGAGCTAATAAAAACGTTTTAAAAACCAAGCGAAAGTCTGCCTCCAAGTTGCCAAACTTACATACATTACATTGTTTTTCTTGGCGGAAAAAGTAATGATTTATTAACTTTTTTGGATTGCTGACTTGGCGGGGAAAGTGTTACCACTTAGTGGTTTTTTTGTTAGATCTATAAATTGTTCACAACAGACAGCAGTGTAGATGCAAATCAAAAAGTAAACAATCAGTAAACTGATGTCAGCTAGCAGCTGATTAAAATGAACAGCTGATAATAAACAAGCGGCTGTGGCTGTCTGTCAGTAAGCTTGTCAGTGTGTCAATTCATGCTTACTCCTCCTGCTCTATCAAATGTTAGCATTTCTCATTATCTCTCACAGTATAAATTTGTTAACAAAGTTATCAAAATAAAATAGCTATCCAATATGTCTCTCTCAATATCAAATCAAATCAAAATAGCATTTATTCCGCCAAAATATTTACAAATTACATCATGTTAGTTCCATACAAAAATGTTTACAATATTGTTTGGTTTTTTAATAATATAAAATTTAATATAAACATAAAAATATTAAAAAGCTTTTTAAATTAGCTAAATATCTTCCACAAAGAAGGAATACCTCTGTGTGTGGAAGAGAGTCGTATTATATATATTTATAATTTTTTTTAAACTAAGTGATGAAGGGAAAAAAGTTATTTTAGAAGAAAAAAAATTTGGAATAATAGATACGCTGGAGGACTTAATGGTAAGTGAATGTAATACTACATTAGACAATTAGTCGACCCTTCCCCCCTCCCAACGCCCAATCACCCTCCCCCCAAAAGATAACCTATCTACTTCCCAATACACACATACAAGTTCACACAATCACACACACACACAGATACACTCAGCTGTCCTCGTCCCAACACCAACAAGCGGCTGGTAGCCCTAGGGTACTAGGGCCGTCAATGCTCTGTCCCTGTGGTACAGAATCGAGAACTGCATACACGCGCACGCACACACACACACGCTCACACAGACGTCCGCGATGTTTACGCTGACATTCAATCGTTCTTTCACCCTATCAGCTGATGTGAGTTTGTTGTCTGTCTGTAAATTGGTCATATATCTATATATATAAAATCCAATGTATGTTTGTATGTTTGTCCTTTATGGACTCCAAAACCGCTCGACAGATTGTAATGAAACTTTCAGGCATTATTAAGCATTATTCAAGGATGGTTTGTGTGAAGTTTGGTGCAGATCCATCAATAGGGCTCCGCCCCAGTGGCTCTGGAGTTTCCCATGTTAACCTTATGAGTACTCATATTTAAATGGAATTAAAGAATCTTAACAGCTGGTGCAACTAAACAATTTGATTCTGTGATGTTCAATAGCATTAAAAAGTTAATAGGTTTACCAACAGGGTGCAGCACTATATATTTTTTTTAATTTATGAGAACAGCTAATTTGCAACCTGGAGGCGAGTTAGCGTAGCGAACGAGCTAACCTGAAGGCAAGTGAGCGCAGCGAACGAGCTCCAACCTAAAGGTGAGTGAGCGTAGCGAACGAACTTCAACTAGGACGTGATTGAGCCATGCGAACGAGCTCATATTGAAAATGAACGAGCATGTGACATAAAACCACAATAGGACAGGACGACGTCTGTCGGGCCAGCTAGTATATATATAATAATCATATATACATACTAGCTGGCCCGACAGACGTCGTCCTGTCCTAACGTGGTTTTATGTCAAATGCTTGTTCATTTTCAAGATCCTGGTTGAAGTTCGTTCGTTATGCTCACTCACCTTTAGGTTGGAGCTCGTTCGCTGCGCTCACTTGCCTTCAGGTTAGCTCGTTCGCTACGCTAACTCGCCTCCAGGTTGAAGTTCGTTCGCTACACTCACTCACCTTTTGGTTCCAAATTAGCTGTTGTCATAAATTTAAAAAAAATAATCGTGCTGCACCCTGTTGGTAAACTTATTAACTTTTTAATGCTATTGAACATCACATAATCAAATTGCTTAGTTGAACCAGCTGTTAAGATTCTTTAATTCCATTTAAATATGAGTACTCATAAGGTTAACATGGGAAACTCCAGAGCCACTGGGGTGGAGCCCTTTTGACGGATCTGCACCAAACTTCACACAAACCATCCTTGAATAATGCTTAATAATGCCTGAAAGTTTCATTACAATCTGTCAAGCGGTTTCGGAGTCCATAAAGGACAAACAAACAAACATACATACAAACAAACATACATACAAACATACATTGGATTTTATATATATACTAGCTGGCCCGACAGACGTCGTCCTGTCCTAACGTGGTTTTATGTCAAATGCTTGTTCATTTTCAAAATCCTGTTTGAAGTTCGTTCGCTATGCTCACTCACCTTTAGGTTGGAGCTCGTTCGCTGCGCTCACTTGACTTCAGGTTAGCTTGTTCGCTACGCTAACTCGCCTCCAGGTTGAAGTTCGTTCCCTATGCTCACTCACCTTTTGGTTGCAAATAAGCTGTTGTCATAAATTTTTTTAAAAATCGTGCTGCACCCTGTTGGTAAACTTATTAACTTTTTAATGCTATTGAACATCACAGAATCAAATTGCTTAGTTGAACCAGCTGTTAAGATTCTTTAATTCCATTTAAATATGAGTACTCATAAGGTTAACATGGGAAACTCCAGAGCCACTGGGGCGGAGCCCTTTTGATGGATCTGCACCAAACTTCACACAAACCATCCTTGAATAATGCTTAATAATGCCTGAAAGTTTCATTACAATCTATCAAGCGGTTTCGGAGTCCATAAAGGACAAACAAATAAACATACAAACAAACATACATACAAACATACATTGGATTTTATATATCCAATCTATAAAGATATATAGATATAGATATATAGATTATATATATACTGCTGATATTGATATAAATTGTTATTATATTATATATATATATATATATATATATAATGCTGTGATATAATATAATCACAGCAAATATCCAAACATTATCTGTTTCAGTTACAAATCATAAATCTCTTCATACAAAATCTTCAAGTTACCTCCTTTTATTCCCGTATTCCATTGCACTATGTCTAGCTAGAGTAATAGCTCCTTCCCTATATGGGAAATTCGCCGATATGTACATCTGTCATACTCAAGGGTTCAACCATTGATGTATAATGCTCCCAGGATTGCACACTCAGGTGAAGTACCTCAACCTCTCTAACCAAAAAATTCCTCACTTACTAGATTTCAAGCTTATTACATTTTAATGGTGTCATAAAACGATTATCAGTTTTTATTCCCCTAAATAAATGATAAAAAATATGTTAAGGTTAAAATTAACTGCAGCAATAAGCATTGGCTTTTCCAGTGAAATACTCTAAGTTATAAATTGTTTACATTAACAAAAGTGTAGCAGTGTGTATTGAGTGAAAGTATGTTTTGTAAAAGAAAGAAGTTCATTCGACCCGTACGTCTGAGTATCCCACCATTTCGAATGTTGGGCACAGCCCATTTTTTAACAACACAGCATGTTATGTTATATATCCAAGGGAGTATATATAGGCATCAATGGGTTTAACATAGTAGTCTATTATAACATAGGAAATAAATAAACTTACCACTCCATCTATTGCCATATATAACAGTTTCCTGGGCCGAACAATACGGAATAAGCGATCTATGCATTCAAAAATAGCTATCATCATTTCATCCTCATTTTTTGGAGCTGGCCTGAAAAAAAAAATTATTTGTTTTACTAATCCTAGTACAGTATAGAAAATAAATTAACTTCTATTGGTCACCAGTGTGGCGCAGCTGTGTAGTTGCAGAGAGATAGGAAATACTGTTATTTTGCAGTAATAGTCAGGAACGTTCCTTAGCTTTTCGGCAATAGGTAAATAATACTATTATATTTGTCTCACCTAGTCCTATTACTTCCCCTTCCAGTATATTTCAGCCGGTCATTCTCTAGCCATCACAGGGTTATCATTTATTATTTTACTTCCTTTAACAAGTCTATTAGTGAACCTGTTGCTCAAATTCGAGCAATTGCTAAGTATTACAAGAACAAGCTTTGGGTAGAGTGTACACCATACACCCAAACAACAGCGAATGTTATTACCTATGCTTACTACTACATGAGGTTTGAGGCCCCACGTCATCCTCATGTTTAAAAACTGTGAATGATGTCATATATCCAACACATCATCTCTAAATCTGCACAGCAGCTCTAAATCTGCCTGTAAGGCTTTAGGGTTGGTGGAGGATGACGAACATTGGGCTACAACCTTGGAAGAAGCTGCACTTGAGCAAATTCGCTAATAAACTTAGAGATTTATTTACCATTATGATGGACTTTTGCCAATTATCCAATGCCTTCAGTCATTGGGAAAGGTTTAAAAATTATCTCTCAAAGGATATAACCCACCACGTAGAGAACCATTTGCAAGGCAATATCTGTGGTGTAATAGGAAATGTTTATAATTGTTAAGAATTCAATTTAGAAGACTTTGGTTTTATTAACTACTGTACTGTATGGAACTAACATATGATCATATGTTTGATTTATTATTCTGATTGTAAACAAAACAGAGTAGTTGTGATGTTATGAATCTTTTAAGAATATAAAGTTTCTTTTAGAAGTGAATAAAACAGGTTTTTTATTTAATTAGCCTACTCGTTAGAACCTGAAATCAGGGAATATTTATCATTTTTAAAGGAATTTCGGCTGCACTTTACTTTAGGCCCTACACTCATTCGAGTTAAAATATCAATCGATACATCGATTAATCGATCGTTTCATTCGATATATCGTTTGGTTGGTTAGGTAAGGTTAGCCTAACCTAACTAACCAAACGATATATCGAATGAAACAATCGAATATTCGATATTTTGTTCGAATGAGTGTAGGACCTAAAGTAAAGTGCAGCCGGAATTTCCTCTAAGTTGTAAAATATGGCGACCGTGACAGGACTTGATAACGAGTAAATTTGACCCTGTTTTATTTAACACATGAGAGATTGTTTTGATTACTGAAACAGTGAATTGGAAAACATGGCTGAATTGACAAAACTAAAGAAATCAAGATCAGCTATTCGAATGACATTTACTGTGACAGTTAAAAAACTTTAAGATATTTTAAAGGAAGAAATAGTTGATTTTACAAGTATCAGCACAGCTTGAAGTAATAAATACTCATTTTTGCACTCTCAACGACCTAAATTCATCAATATATGATAAATTATTAGAAGGTGATGCGAGAGATGAAGACAACTTCAAGGGCAAAATGAATATATTGTACAATATCATCTTATTTCTAAGAAAGTGGAACATCTAAAAATTAAAGAAATGATTCCACATCAAGATGAAAGAAGTGAAATAACGCAAAAGGGCTCAGGATCGGCTAAATCAGGACGCTCATACCAGCTACCTTATTTGAAACTAAAAGAGTTTAACGGGGAACTAGGCGAGTGGCTCCCATTTTGGTCTCAATTTAAGAAGATCGACGAAGATCAGAATGTAGACAAAGCAGATAAGATCCAGTATCTTATAATGGCAACTGCAGTTGGATCACCTGCCCGAGACTTGGTTGAAAGCTACCCTGCAATGCCTGAAATGTACAAGGAGTTAGTTGAAGCTCTAAAGAGTCGATTCGGAAGAGACGATCTTTTGAAAGAGTATTACATGATGCAAATGTTGGCTCTAACGATACAGAACGTCACAAGTAAAGAAAAACCAATTTTGTCGGTTCTTTATGACAAGATCCAGTCACACTTAAGGAATCTTAATGCACTGGGAGTGACTTCAGAGCATTGTGCCTCACTGCTATTTCCAATGGTAACGTCAAGTCTGCCCAAAGAAATCCTCAAACTTTGGCAGCGAACAACGAACCATAACTCTAACATTCATGAAAGTTCATCCAAAGAAGTTCTGGAGAATATGTTGACATTTCTTAAAAACGAGGTAGAGGGAGAACAAAAAAGTATCCATGGCATTGGAAGGGTTTGGAATTGCAAGTACTAAACACAATGTAAAACATCCCTCGAGTTCCTCTCAAGTTTCGTGGGGATCTTCTATCAAAACAAATAAAGGTTTTGAGAAGCAAAACAAACGGAAGCCTTTTGAGAAACAGACTTCGGCGGCGGCACTTGTATCGACTACGGAAGGTACCTACTTATTCATTGACTTGTGTGTTTTGTTTTGTGATTAAAACCACAGATCTCAAGATTGTGTGAAAGCTTTGGATATGACTATTCTTGAGCGAAAAGATATTTTAAAGAAGAAAGGATCTTGTTTCAAGTGTTTAAAAGGTCGACACATGAGTAATTCCTGTAAAGCTATAGTAAAGTGTGCAGCTTGTTTAAGAAAACACTATCCGATTATGTGTGAAGATCTACAAAAGAAAACTACCCTTTCCTTGAATAAAACTGAAAAATCTGATGAACAGAAACTGATTTCTGAGGATATAACAAGTAAGGCATTAGTGTCGAGTATCAGTAAATCAACAGTGGTTTACCTAAGCACGCTTCTTGTGAAAATCGTCGTAGGAACCCAAGAGCATACAGTTCGTGCGTTGATTGACTCTGGAAGCAAAAAAGTTATATTTTGAAATCTTGTGCGACTTATTTAAAACTGAAGAGAATGGGTAAAACTGTAACAAGTCAAGAGTTGTTTGGGGGACAGAAAAAAAAATTAAGGTCTCATGGAGTTTATTCTGTAAAACTTCAATCCACAACTGATGGTTTTAATGAGGATTTCAAAGTTTTGGACACACCTCGTATCTGTGGATTCATACGTAAAGTGTCGGACGTCAGAATATATGAAAATCTCAAAGCAAAAGATGTGATTTTGTCGGATTTTTGTGAATCCTCAGAAGATGTAAGTGATATACAGTTGCTTCTTGGAGCTGACAGTTGGCCTAATTTGATTACATCGGAGTATGTAAAAATATGTAATGATTTGGCTGCTGTGAAAACAAAACTAGGATGGACACTAGTTGGTGAATCGGAATCAGACAGTGAAACTAGAATGACTTCTTCGATGTTATTGACTCTTACAAATCAAGTTAATCTATCTATTTTGGGAACCTGAACTTTTAGGAATTAAGGACCCTGGTACGAAAAAACTTCAGAGTGAAAAGGATAGTCAAGTAGCTGAGTTTTTTGAAAATACTGTTCAACAAGAAGATTCTGGGAGATATGTTGTGAAACTTCCTTGGAGTGAAGGACAGCCTGTACTAGAGGACAACAAATACGTCGCAGAAAAGAGACTTTGTTCTACTACCAAAAAACTGAAATTTATTGGTAAGTACCATGATTATGATTCTGTGTTTGATTCGTGGCTTAAGCTTGAAATAATCAAGAAAGTTCCCAAAGATGAGTTAAATAATATTAATGTACACCTAGAGATCCTGACTTCTCTGAGTATGTCTGCCCTAATACAAGCGCTCAGACACTTCATATCAACAAGAGAAAGACCAAAGATTATACAATCAGATAATGGGATGAATTTTGTTGGACTTGACAACGCATTCAATGATTTAGATTGGATCAAAATTGAAGAGGAATGTAGTATTCAACGAATAAAGTGAAAATTTAATGCTCCCGCTGCACCATGGTGGGGAGGATATTGGAAGCGGTGATTACGTGTGTTAAAAGACCTTCTTAAGAAAACTTTAGGATGAGCATCACTGTGTTACGAAGAACTGATGACGTTGTATGTGAGTGTGACTGTCTTATGAACAGCCGTCCCTTGACTTATGACAGTGATAACAAGAATGAACTTACAAATGGTTTTATACCAATTGTTGTACTGTTCAGGTATTAACGTTTTCTGATTTTATGAATGAAGTGTTTGTAAATTGTTGTCGAACTCCTCAATTCACAAAGGTTGGGAGTGTGTTAAGAATTCAACTTAGAAGACTTTGGTTTTATTAACTACTGTACTGTATGGAACTAACATATGATCATATGTTTGATTTATTATTCTGATTTGTAAACAAAACAGAGTAGTTGTGATGTTATGAATCTTTTAAGAATATAAAGTTTCTTTTAGAAGTGAATAAAACAGGTTTTTTATTTAATTACTCGTTAGAACCTGAAATCAGGGAATATTTATCATTTTAAAAGGAATTTCCCCTAAGTTGTAAAAATAAAAGTTCTTAGCAGGATTGAAACAGGCAGGGGCCAGGCCTTCTTCTTAGACGCACCTGGTTGGTGGTACTGGGAAAACATTTCTGATTACTTTACTTTTGGCTAAAGTAAGAAGTGAGGGGGGTATCGCTTTGGCAGTTGCGTCATCTGGCATTACTGCTCCATTATTAGAGGGTGGTAGGAATGCACATGCTGCCTTTAAGCTGCCCCCAAACCTCATTCATTCAGATACATCAGTGTGCAATCTATATAAATAAAATTAGAGTTTTGTCTGTACATTGCTCAGAATTATATACTTTTAGGTTATTTTTACGTTTTATACATTAAAGAAGCAGAAACGAGTCTTATCTCAATTTCTGTCTGTCTGTCTGTCCCTTTGTCTGTAACACTCAAGATGGCATTTTACGCTATCTTCTCCGTGAAAACCAGAGTACATATCAAGATCCAAGCCATTTTAATGTATTCACTGGATTGGCGAGAGTGTCTTTAGTGATTTAAATATAGCCTCACTACTTTGTAAATAAAATTACGGACGTTCAAAAATGCAGTTTTGTGCGATTTTTGTCAAATTTTCGTTCA